CTCCCCCCTCTCATGTGCTTTCTCTCTCTCTCATTCTCTCTCTCTCAAATAAATAAATAAAATCTTTAAAAAAAAATTACTCATTGTAGGGGCTAGAAGGTACATACGGGGGGAGAATGATTTTCTGGTGAGTTGGCAGCAACTGGGTTGACCATCTAGACCTCGTGGTTGACATGTGAGAAGAGAGGCTCCTCTATTTTTTTAAAAAGATTATTTATTTATTTATTAGAGAGCACGAGAGCACAAGCAGGGGTAATGTCAGGCAGAGGCAGAAGCAGGCTCCCCACTGAGAAGGGAACCTGACTTGGGGCTCGATCCCAGGACCCTAGGATCATGACCTGAGCCAAAGGCAGATGCTTCACTGACTGAGCCACCCCTCTGCTGTCTCCTGGGTGCTCCCAGGACTCCTCTATTTTTAAAGTATGGACAGAAATGGGCTGAATCTGCTGCTTCAAGGGAAAATGTCCACACCTCCTGGAACCACAGGACTTATCATAAGTGCTTCCTCTGACACGCCCTGGGTCTGTGAGCTGCACCCCATCCCTGGTACCATGAGTTCCAGATTTCCCAGGGGAGGGGCCATTTTCCCTTTATGCAAGCAAATCTAGCCATCCTCTGGAAACCTTGATTCTTTACATTTAAAAATCTACTCTATCTGGAGAGTATATCCCTATAAGGTAGGAAGCAACTTTGTTTTCCCCTAAATGTTTAGCCCAGTGGGTTTCAAATTTTGCTCCACATTAAAAATCTTGATGCCAAGTCATGCCTCATACCAGTGAACTTGGAATGCTAGGCATTGGCCCTTGTAAAAGTCCCCCAGGTGATTCCAATGTGCAGCAAAGTTTTAGAACCACTAGGTTACCCAAGGATCCCCATACCTGCCACTGAAAAGAATTTTTTTTTCCCACCTGCCTTAAGGTGACGACCCATTCTGGTTTTAGCACTAAAAGTTCTGTGTGTCGGGAAACTCCTCACTCCCAGGTGAACTACATTTTATAGATAAAACTAAGTAAACATAGATCTGTTTCTGGGCTTTCTCGTCTGTACCATTGCTGTCTGTCCAGCAACGATACCATGGCATTTTAATTACCATGACTTCAGAGTATATATATATATATATATATGCTTGATAAGGCAAGTTCTTCTTCATTAACTCTCATTTTTAGATCTTTCTCAGCTATTTTCACGTGTGTGTTCTTCCAAGTGAACTTAAGAATTATTGGGTCAAAGTTCCCCCTATATTCTGCTGGGATTTTGGCTGGGCTAGGCTTACATTATAGATTGTTTTGGGTGACTCATTTATAGGATCAGGGACTATTCCATGTTACCGTCACGTATGTACTTTAGTCCTTGAGTCTAAGATTGGCCTAGAGGGCGTTATGTGTAGATATGGGCATACATGTGTCCATGCATGTAGATTTTGTCCCCCAAATGACAGAATTTGAATTTAAGCTGGAATTTGAAGTTAAGAGGTACTGTGTACCTGAGTTTGTTCTTTAACAAGCCTGTGGAAACCTGCAGTGTGCATGGCCTGAGGAAGTACAGAGATGCTGTAATGTCAATGCGTTTCGGGACTATTTTGGGGAATGTCATTACTAGAGATTGTGTCCACAAGAAGGTGACTGCCAGGTTCCGTCAGTTAGTGTCCTGGGCATTAGCTATCCTCTGTAAAAGTAAGAGATCTGTTGTAAAATTGTAAGTGGCTGTGGGGCAGGTCAGGGCCTTCGGTGCTTCCTCTGGGCACCTGTGTTTTAGTGAACACTGAGCACCTTGATCCCTACCTGGGAACAAATCTCTGGAATTATCCCATCGGTTTTGGGGTTTAGGGACAGGGTAACTTGTGAGGGCATTCAGCCTCTACAGGGTCCATCTCAGTGATAATATTACTGGTGTGGGGTATCTTTCTAGTCTGTGGGCTGCTCTGGAGAAGAAGCACAGTGCATCTTTCAGCACATAGTGGTGCTATCAAGCCACGGCCGCTCATGAGCCCCTTGAAATAGGAAACTTCCTTGGACTGAATTCACATGTTGGATGAATTCACATGTTGGCTCAGCCAGTAATGGTGCTCCTGAGCGTCTGCACAAATGAAATAATTATCTCCTCCATTCTTTTGGGAATATGCATAATGCTGTGACTGGCCATCTGGTAAACCCAATGTCATAGGAAAATGCGTTTTGGGCACCGCCACAAGCAAAATGCTGTGTGGGCGCTCTGGGGAGTACGGAGTACAAAGGGTTTTTAGTTGAGGACTTTTCTGGGGAGATAAGGCGGAAGAAAGAAAATGTAGAGCCTGGGCCAGACCTGCCATGAGAGCCCCTATCTCCGCTCTCCACTCTCTACTGCTGAGCCCAGATCCCATTGCTTCCACTGCCTGAATACTGCCTGAGTCACGTCTCCTCTCTCATTTCCACTGCTTTAGTTTAAGCTGTCATTTCTTTAAAAAAAAACTTTTTAAATTGTGATAAAACGTATGTATCATGAAATTTACCCTTGTGACCATTTTCTTGGATACAGGCTCTTGTTTCTTCTCTCTGGACACAGGAATACGTTTTTAAAAATAAATGAACTATGATGCAAACAAAACCAAGACGTATGTAATGTGAAAGTACAGTTTAAAGAATAAAGCAAATAGGGGCACCTGGGTGGCTCAGTGGATTAAGTGTCTGCCTTTGGCTCAGGTCATGATCTCAGGGTTCTGGGATCGAGCCCCGCACTGACTCCCTGCTCAGTGGGGAGTCTACTTCTCCTTCTGACCCTCCCCCTTCTTGTACTTCCTCTCTCTCTCAAATAAATAAAGTCTTAAAAAAAAAAAAAGATTAAAGCAAATACCTGGGTAAGCACTCAGCTGAAGAAATAAAACATTAACCATCTGTTTGGATATCCTCTGTGCCTTTTCCCTGATGCCAGCCCCTCACTTGCCCTAGAGCACAGTAATAGACTTTTCACTGGTCTCCCTTCCCCCAGCATCTCTTCTACGCTGGGCTCAGACAGATGAGGCTAAAAGAGAAATCCTGTGTGTCCTGCACCTGCTGAAAGTTGCCCGATGACTCTGCGTGGTTTGTGGGATAAAATGCAGAGAGTCCTGGGTGGTGGGGGAAGGACTTCCCCAGTTTGGATGCACAGGATCTTCGCGGTGCCCCGTGATACCATGACCCACCTTCCACAAGCTGTAGCCACACCCTCTGCCCTCTCCTGGGTGCTCCCCTTCTCTCTGCGGCCAGGCAGCGCTGTCCTCCCTCTGGTGTCCCCCGCCTTCTCCGGTGCCCTCAGCCTGCTGAGCCTGTGAGGCTAGGGCTCAGGTTCAGCTTCTCTGTATGGTGCTCGGCCTGGACAGTTCCCTGCAGAGGTGGTCACTGGGGGAATGTGGTTTGAGAGGGAGGAGGAAGGAGAGGCTTCTGTGCGCTGGGGAGGGCGAGACAAGCTGATAGGGGAGGGAACTTGAGTGGGCCTTTGGGGAACACTGAGGATTTAGACTTGGAAGGTAGTGTACCTCCTCATCAGACCTCATCATGTCTTCCGAATGTAAGCTTCTCTGTCTCACTCTTTTTTTTTTTTTTTTGAGAGCAAATAACTTGATCTGATGACTCTTTGTCTTGTCACCTTGGCTACCCAAACTGGTGAGCGTTTTTAAGAAGTCCTTAATGAGCTGGTGAGATTCTGGGAGAGAGGCAGTCATCCTGGTGAATGGCAGGTGCCTCGCCTCTGCCCCTTTCCCTCCAGCCCCGCATGTCCTCTCTTCTCTTTGACATGGGCGTGCATGATTCGCAACACGTGAGGCAGCTGCAGTGGGGATGTCGCATTGTTGGAACAGATGTGCATTACCATTGCCCTGAGACAACCTGGTGGTGAAACAGTCCCGTGGGTCCCGCGGCTGGCAGCCCGTGGCCCAGCACGATTCTTGGGGTGGCCATGCTTGGTGGGGTTCTGACTGTCCTCTCCAACGTTCCTCCCCACAGTGGCTGTCTGCAGGTGACCATGGCCGTGTGAGCGTCCGCCATGGCCAACCGGAAGCGTCAGAGCACGGCGAGCAGCATGCTGGACCACAGGGCGAGGCCGGGCCCCATGCCCCATGGCCAGGAGCCCGAGAGCAAGGACACAGAGCTGCCCCTGGAGGAGTACGTGCCCAAGGGCCTGGAGCTGGCCACCCTGCGGCCCGAGAGCCCCACGCCCCCGGACCAGGGGTGCCACGACCACAGCCCTGATGGGGACTCCAGCTCTGACTACGTGAACAACACCTCCGAGGAGGAGGATTACGATGAGGGCCTCCCCGAAGAGGAGGAGGGCATCACCTACTACATCCGCTATTGCCCCGAGGACGACAGCTACCTGGAGGGCATGGACTGCAACGGGGAGGGGTACCTGGCCCACGGCACACGCCACCTGGAGACGGACGAGTGCCAGGAGGCGGTGGAGGAGTGGACGGACTCGGCAGGCCCCCACCCACACAGCCACGGGGACGAAGGCAGCCCGGACTACCGGGACGGCCACCTCCCCATCCCGGAGGATGAGGCCTCCGTCCTGGAGGCCCAGGACCAGGAAGAAGGTGTCCACTACTGCCCCAGTGAAGAGGGCTACCAGGACTACTACCCCACGGAGGCCAACGGGAACACAGGCAACGCCTCCCCCTATCGCCCGAGGCGTGGGGACGGGGACCTGGAGGACCAGGAGGAGGACATCGACCAGATCGTGGCCGAGATCAAGATGAGCCTGAGCATGACCAGCATCACGAGCGCTGGTGAGACCAGCCCTGAACATGCCCTGGTGCGGGGGCCCGAGCCGGGGCCCGGGGACTCCACGGAGGCCTGCCCGCCCGGTGAGGCCAGCCACGGCCCCAGCAGACACGAGGGAAGGCCCAAGTCACTGAACCTCCCTCCTGAGGCCAAGCACTCCGGAGAGCCCCAGAGAGGCTTCAAGACCAAGTCCAGGACTCCAGAGGAGAGGCCGAAGTGGCCCCCAGAGCAGGTAGGACTCTGGCTGTCCCCGGGGAAGGGGGGACGGAGGGGCCCAGAGAGCAAAGGATGCTCTGGTGTCACCTGTGCAGATACCAAAGCAGGTGTGTGGATGTTCTGGTGCCATCCAGAAGACCGCCCCCTCCCACCTCAGAGAGATTTGGTCTCTAGCCCGCTTGCCCTGGATCTGCTCATGGTTGGGGGTGGTTCCTGAGACTACCATCCCCCCACTAGCTGGTTTCTTCAGGCCGACAGGACATTGGCAAGGATGTGGGGTTGCTGGGTCGTGTATAATGCTGCAGCCGGTCGTTGGATGCCCCAGTGACAAGGGACAGTGACCTGAGCACATTTCACAGGGGCCACTGTATCCCGGTGACACTCTTCTGAAAGCTCAGGGGCTGGGCATTATGGGCAATTAGCTGTAAGTAATTATTTTGAAAATAATTATTTGAAGGTTTGACAAAGTGTTGGAGAAGAAATGCATGCTAATGAGGCCAGTGGATTTAAGCATAACTGTATTTCCTTTTAATTATATTAAAGGGAGCATGTATTCTAATAGCTACATTTGAAAAGCTGCTTTTCAAAAAAAAAAAAAAACCCTCTGTGAATATGTAAAGAAGATGTGATTATTACACTTGCGTAAAGGAACTTCTATTTGGCCAATTCTCTGGGCAAATGAGAATGAAACACTTTTATATTTTTAAAGCCTCAATTATTATTTTTTCCCCAGAAGAGTCCATGAGTTTAAAAAATATATACATATGCTAAGAACGTGTCTTTGGGACATAAGTCATATTCACTCGCTGCTAGATTTCTGGCACTTGCTTGTTGATACCTTTTGTTCCTTTTTAAAGATTATTAAATGTAAGTTGGCTTCCTTTTGAGGGTATTCCTGGCATTCAGGGCAGCTGTGCACATACACCAGGGGCTTTGGGATGTAGAGAAACTGCTGTTGCCTAGTGGATGTGGGGAGCTCCCCCCAAGGGCAGGAGGCTGTGGACCTAAGGTCTGGGCTCTAGGCCAAAGCGCTGCTGGCCCTCTTCACTTTGGCCGAGTTGGACTCATGGCCCAAGAGCGGCCGTGGTGCCACAGGGGACTGATGGGGGCTGCACAGGGTGGGCGACATACTGTACCTGTTTATAGCAAATGACTTCCCTCACGAGGTTCTTGTCAAGAGAACATAATCGTTAGAGCATGAAGGGGAGGGGCCGCTGAGGGGAAGGGCGGGTATCTCCTCGAAGCAAACACTCTTATCCAAGACACTGGAAAAGCTCATTTATTTTTATTTTATTTTATTTTTTTAAAGGTTTTACTTATTTATTTGACAGAGAGAGACAGAGAGAGAGGGAACATAAGCAGGGGGAGCGGGAGAGGGAGAAGCAGGCTTCCCGCTGAACAGGGAGCCCGATGCGGGGCTCGATCCCAGGACCCTGAGATCATGACCTGAGCTGAAGGCAGTCGCTTAACCAACTGAGCCACCCAGGCGCCCCTGGAAAAGTTCATTTAAACTGGTTAATTATTGCATAGCTTTTTTGGTTTACTCATCATTCATTTGCAAACTACTTCCCTCAAGGGGAAAGCCTGGTGATTCCCAGCTCAGGGCTGACAAGGGTTCTGGATGAACATGGGACCTGAGGACTCTGCCATGTCTGAGTGGATGTGACCTGGATCTTTACATCTCATAGACCCAAGTGACCCATTCTCCAGATGAGGAACCTTTTGAAATTTGACCCAAAAGAGCCACTATGATAGGATCATGTTGAAAGGAAGATTGTGTGAAGGAGGTGCGGTGGGAAATGGGGTAACTCCTTGCTTCAGATCACAGCCTGCCTTCCTCAAAGGAATCCCTTACTCCCCCTACCCCCACCCCACTGCCCCTGTGGGGGACAGCCAGACTATGTGGGAGCCAACAAAAGGGCAGCCTCAAATAGGCTTCCAGGGTGGATGAGTCCCTTGCTGACCTTTACCTGGGCCATCCGTGGTTAGTGTGGCATAGCTGGGGGTTCAGGCTACGGTAAAATAAAACAAAAAAAACGAAAGGAGAAAGGCCAGTACTAGCTACCTAGAGCCTCCTTTCTGAAGCGCGGTCTGTGGGCCAGCAGCCTTGGCCCCACTGGACGGCCCCGCCGCAAGACCACTGAATCGACAGTCGGTAAGATGCCCCATTCACATTTGAGAGGGGATACCACGGGAGGCTTCTGCTGGGGGAAGAATTGCATGGCATCCCTCTCCTCTCTGACACTCCTTTTAAAGCTGGAAGAGTTATGTCGTGGCCACTTGGAAGAGTATCGCGTACATTCTGTTTCGTCCTTGCATGAGCGACGATGCCACAATGGAATCAGAAATGGGAATATGGGGAAAGTACCCGCCACGGCTCCCACGGCCCTCACAGATGAGCTCTTTTGGTGTCGCCGTGTTCCCCTTCAGACTCCAGCACTGACCATGAATAATGTACGTGGCTGTCATGGTGGTCCAGACGTAATTTTGCCATCCACCTTTTAGAACCTGACACGCTGCAAATGTTTCTCCGTGTCGCCATGTAATTTTCGTGATCATTTTTACTGGCCTTTGCATGTTCCATTCAGGCCACGTGCCATCTCATTCGTTCGTCTGCACAGACCCTGCCAGTGAGCATGCAGGTTGCACATGGCATTGTCTTTTATGCCTCAGGCCGGCATGGACATCTCGGTCCAAGTTTTCCTTCTTCTGGTTTATCACTCGAGGATAAATTCCTGTAGTGGGCATGAACGTTGACCATCTCCCCACGTTTATCTTGGCTACTTGTCTCTCCTTTTCCATGAATGGCTGATGTGTGCCCTTGATCTTGTGGGGTCTGGATGCTTTTCTATTTCCTAGGAGCACTTGCATGCTCTAGATGTTACTTGTTGCTACAGATATTTCCTTTGCCATGTTTCCTTTTGAAAAGACTCCAGTTTGCAGGTGAACCTCTCACCTGCATGAAGCTGGGGAGACCAAGAGGTCTGCACTGGGTGAGGGGAGGGCAGGATGTGAGAGAACCCAAAGGAGATAGGCTCAAGTTGCAGGAAGACGGGTTGGGATGGGGGGGAACAGAGATCTGTGCATGAGTGTTTTTTAGAGAAGAACGGTTTTCAAAGCAGTGCATGTTTATTGAGGGAAATTTGGAAAACAGAAGCAAAAAAATATATATATATATTTTGCCACGTGGCAGTGCCGAATTCTATCACGGGGAGTTTTCAAATCAAAGAGGTGAGCTACCTGACAGGATTTCCCAAAGCATCCTGTTAGTTGTGTTCTGTAAACAAAGCCTGGCTGATCCTTGTTATTCAAGGATTCCATTATCTGTGGCTCGGCCCACTCGCTAACATTTATGTGTAAGCTTAAAATCAATACTCCTGGCAATTTTGCAAGCATTTGTGGGCATGCACAGAGAGGCAGAAACGTGAGTCACTCAACGTCCATGATCCCAGTGGAGTTTGAACAAGGAGACACTCTGCCTTCTTGTCTCAGCTCTCATCTCTCATACTGCAAGCAGGCGTCCTTTGCATGATCCTTTTAGTGCCATGTTTTTTGCATTTTTGTGTTCTTTGTGGGGTGATAAAATGACCCCCAAGTGCAGTGCTGGAGTGCTGTCTAATGTTTCTAAGCACGAGAAGGCTGTGATGTGCCGTATGGAGAAAATACACTGTTAGATATTTCGTGTAGGTGTGAGTTATAGAGCTGTTGGCCATGAGTCAACAATATGGTACAGCCAGAGAGAGGAAGAGGAAATTCACCAATCTGTACACAAGGTTGCTCTGGAAAGTGCTAAAGTAATATGTATAGTGTGTGAGGAAGCATTGGAAAAGTGGCTAACTGTGGATTCACGAGATGACCCGCTAATAAAAAGAGCGCAGTGAAGGCACTGTGATGAGGCTGAGAGCCCAAGAAATTTACGGTCTTATTATCCAAGGTCAGGGGAATGTGAGACTCTTTCTCAACTGGTTTTATTATAAAGAAATACTGGATGTAATTACTTGTGAGGAATGCACATTAAATAAGGTGTCTAAATAGAAAGCACACATAAAACAATGTGATGTATTGATTGCTCAACAAAAATGATGGCCAGAGGCTTTGCAGGAACCTTATCCTGTATTTCTCCTGGGAGGTGGGTCAGTACTCATACATGTGGAGTTCACAGCTGGTTTATAGACTAAAAGTCCCACGAGGCAAGGAGAACTGTCTGCATCTGATAGACAGATGAGTTTGAGAAACTTTACTGCAAAGGTGTCCCATCTCCTTGGTTGTGCATATGCCCTGGGGCGAAGTCCCATACTCTACAACAAAGACGCCTCCAGCCCTGCTTGGCCGGTGTTGCCCCTAAAATCTGGATTATCAGGCCCTTTACTCTCCGTGCAGGGCCTATCAGGACAACAGACCACAGTTGCACATCTTCAGGATCACACAACTTCCTGAGGTCTCTCCCTTCACGACTCTATCCCAGGATGATTCAACATCAACCCAAAATGCTGAGGACAGAAAAGGTGTCGCTTTTGTCGCTGTTGGGATCCTGGGCTTCTGAGGAGTTAATGTTTCTTTTTCTACCATTTGTGGGCAGTCCCTGGGTGATGGCGGAGGTGATGCTGGTGTTGGTGGTCATGGCCGGAACGGTGCTCAGGCCCTCATGTGTACAATCTCAGTGAATGCTAGAACATTCGGAAGTGATAGGCACTAGGGTTACTCCCATTTTACAGATGAGGCCGTTGAGACTTATGTGGGGTAAGTACCAACCCCATGGTCAGACAGCTCAAGCAGTAAACAGTCTGTGTTGCACCAAAATTCATGCCTCTCACCACCGCCCTCTGCAGTTTTTGAAGGGCTTCTAGAAGAGCTAACGCGGACTTCCATGGCAGGGAGTGTTTGAGTCCGCCCTCTGGTGAGTGAGGCGCTGTGTGTGAATCGGGCGGTATTCCTCCCAAGAGCGGCCATCCCTACTACTCTGTCCTCATTGACTTGGTAACCACAAGGCCTTGACGTGCTCCATGGTTCGTGGTA